CGAAACTGTCGCCACTTTCGAGGGCTGCTGGTGGGTCCTGCGGGGTGAGGCACCGCGCGGAACTGAGCGGGACCTCGCCGTCCCTGGGGGGCTGCGATCTGCGAAACTGTCGCCACTTTCGAAGGCTGCTGGTGGGTCCTGCGGAGTGAGGCACCGCGCGGATCTGAGCGGGACCTCGCCGTCCCTGGGGGGCTGCGATCTGCGAAACTGTCGCCACTTTCGAGGGCTGCTGGTGGGTCCAGCGGAGCGAGGCACCAAGCAGATCTGAGCGGGACATCGCAATCCTTGGGGGGCTGCGAGCCTCACGAATGCCGCTCGCAGAAGTATCTGCGCCCATGTCACGTCATCACCTCCGTATAACGTCTCCCAAGCTACTCATGCCCCGCATTGCTCAGGGGTTGGGCACGTCGCCAGGGTAATTTCTTTGATTGGGGACCTGCGAACTTTCCGAATGCCGCTGAAAACATATATGCATCCATATCACGTCGCCGCCTTCTCGTCACATCTCCCAAGCGACTCCTGCCCCGCATTGCGCGGGGACTGGGTACGTCGCCAAAGTAATTTGACAAAGGTGGCACGGCACCCTTAGCGAAGCGGCTTTGTGCAGAACCACCATCCGTGTCAATACACAATGCAAAGTGCACGTTGCGACAACGTCGTGGGTATTGTGATGGCCACATGCGATCACTTGGTTGGGTGTTCGTTTTGGATCTAACACTGCTCGCGCGTCCTTCTCCTCCTCCCGCCTCCCGCCTGCTACACTCCTTTCGCCGTCGCTGGGGGGCTGCGATCTCCGAAACTGTCGCCGCTTTCGAGGGCTGCTGGTGGGTCCATCGGAGTGGGGCACCACGCAGACCTGAAGTAGACATCGCCGTCCCTGGGGGGGGTGCGATCTGCGAAACTGTCGCCGCTTTCGAGGGCTGCTGGTGGGTCCAGCGGAGTGGGGCACCGCGCGGACCTGAAGTAGACCTCGCCGTCCCTGGGGGGGCTGCGATCTGCGAAACCGTCGCCACTTTCGAAGGCTGCAGGTGGGTCCAGCGGAGTGAAGCACAGCGCAGACATGAGGTAGACATCGCCGTCATTGGGGGGCTGCGATCTGCGAAACCGTTGCCAATGTCGAGGGCTGCCGGTGGGTCCAGCGGAGTGAGGCACCGCGAAGACCTGATGTAGACCTCGCCGTCCCTGGTAGGCTGCGATCTGCGAAACTGTCGCCACTTTCGAGGGCTGCTGGTGGGTCCAGCGGAGTGAGACACTGCGCAGACCTGAGCGAGACTTTGCCGTCCCTAGGGGGCTGCGAATCTGTGAAACCCTCGTCACTTTCGAGGGCTGCTGGTGGGCCCAGCGGAGCGAGGCACCGCGCAGACCCGAGGAGGCCTCGCTTTCCCTGGGGGGCTGCGTTCGGCGAAACTGTCGCCACTTTCGAGGGCTGCTGGTGGGTCCTGCGGGGTGAGGCACCGCGCGGAACTGAGGTAGACCTCGCCGTCCGTGGGGGGCTGCGATCTGCGAGACGGTCTCCACTTTCGAGTGTTGCTGGTGGGCTCGCCACTTTCGAGGGCTGCAGGTGGGTCCAGCGGAGTGAAGCACTGCGCAAACCTGAGCGGAACCTCGCCGTCCCTGGGCGGCCATGTCATGTTGTTGCTGCTCCGCCGGCGTTTGAAGCCCCTTGCCCGCAGTTTCCTTTGGAACTTGCGTCTTCCTTAGTGACTCAGGCGTTCACTTAGTCACTCATCGTTTTTCCCTTGGTTGGGGACCCGCGAACCTTCCGAATGCCGAATGCCGCTCGCAGAAGTCTATGCGTCCATGTCACGTCGCCACCGTCTCGTCAAATCTCCCAAGCTACTCCTGCCCCGCATTGCGCAGGGGTTGGGTACGTCGCCAGGGTAATTGGACAGGGACGGCGGTGGTGCCCGCATGATGATGTTTGCTGTGCGCAGGCCCAAAACAATGCTGACGCCCCCCACATCAGCATCTGGACCATGCGGACGGGGGGGCATCACGCTTTTTTTACAAGGGTGGCGCATCAACCGCATGTGGAGCCCGCGGCGAGCGTCGCGCACCTGGCGTCCGCTTTGGTCCCCAGTGGCTGTCCATCCAGTGGCGACCCCTGGCTACGCCGAGACTCGGATGCCACTTGTGTGGTAAAAGGCGGGTGGGAGTGAGCTTTGCGTACGGAAAACATGTTTTGACCCCTCCCCCCACCCCCTCCCCTGGACCTGGACGGGGGTTCCGCGAGGCGTTGCAGCGCTCAAGATGGCCCAAGATGGCTCTAGGAGAGCCTCAGAAGAACCCAGGATGACTTTCAGGATGGCCCACGATAGCCCAAGATGGCTCAACATGCCTCCCAAGACGCTCCAAAACAGCTCTGAATGGCCACGGAGCCTCCTCAGGAGGCCGCTAAGAGGCCCAACTCCTTCAAACACCAGAGGGAATTCAATGATATTTGCCTTCTCGCCTTTTCGCTTTCGAAAGACAGCTGCAAAAAGAGCCCATGAGGGCCCCGAGCGAGGCCCAAGAGAGCACAAGAGCGCGAAAGGGCGCACCAAGAGCGCCCCAAGAGGGACCCAAAAGACGATTGCTAGGGCTCCCGAGGGGAATCGCAATTAGAGTCTCCATCTTTTGTGATCGATATCCTCCAAGATGGCCCCAGGAGCGCTCCCAAGGCTCCCAGGAGCGCCTGAATAGAGCCCCGAGAGGCGCCCATCAAGCTTCAAGAGGCGCCAAAGAGGCGTCCAAGGGGCTCCCAAGGAACCCCAAAGAGACCCCAAGAGACTCCCCGAGGCACCCAAGAGCGCTCAAGAGTGTCTCAAGAGCGCTCCAAGATTCCTCTGTGTACTGCCCACGTCCCTGATCGACGAGGCGACTCCTATGGGCATCTTCTCTGGATGGGCTGGTGGGGAGATTTGTTGGTACGCGGGCGCGCGAAGCGGGTCGAACGCCGTGCAAGCGGGGGCAGGCCGTGCCACCAGCCGACGGAAAACCAGAGAGGCGAGCAACGCCATGCAAAACCTGATAAATAACATGGTTGTCGAGTACCCCCCTCGCTCAGGCGGGGCTTCCCTGGAGGAGTGGGAGGGGCACGAAACCTGATACATAACATGGTTGTCGAATACCCTCCTCGCTCAGGCGGGGACTCCCAAGAGGAGTGCGAGGGGCACGAAACCTGATAAATAACATGGTTGTCGAATACCCTCCTCGCTCAGGCGGGGCCTCCCTGGAGGAGTGGGAGGGACACGAAACCTGATAAATTACATGGTTGTCGCATACCCTCCTCGCTCAGGCGGGGCCTCCCTGGAGGGGTGGTGGTGGGGGGGGGGGGGCACAAAACCTTACAGATGAAACAGTCGCCCGCTACTGTCATCGCTCTGGCGTGGCTTCTCTGAAGTGGTAGGTATGGTATTGTAGTTTTGGTATCGTAGGTGTGGTATGATATGATATGGTAGGTGGTGTGGTATGGTTGGCATTGTATGGTAGGTCTGGTGTTGGTATGGCATTGTAGGCATGATACGTGGTAGGGACAGTGTGGTAGGTACGGTGTGGTAGGTATGGACTTGGTATGGTATTGGTAAATATGGTATGGTAGGTATGGTAGGATCTGGTACGTACGGTATGGTAGGGTAGGGAGGGAGGAAAGGGGAGAAGGAGGAGAAGGAGAAGGGGAGGGTGTTCTAGGAGAACAAGAACCCCATTCAGGATGTGGGGAATTAGACGCCTGCGGCGGGCTTCTCCAGAGCCTAGCAGACTGCCGATGTCCCGGCCGCCCCCTCGCTCTTATCCGCAACTGCGGGGTGCTACGGTATTCGAGTGGCGTGCAACAGACCGACCTCCGTCGATAACATACATCGCGATGCTCCCCCCTGGCGTGCTACCCGAGGGTAACATTGTACAAACATGCAAAAAGACTCATGTAACAAGCACATGACAAAGAAACCACCACGGTCGAGGGGCATAGGAGTGTCCGCGCAATTGTGCGATGTGGCGTCGCCATGTCTCGGCGACCCACGCTCGAGACACGCCCAGTCTCCAGTTCGGCGAGGCATCGTTGACATTCTCGCGGGGGGGGGGCTGGTGGTTGGTTGTGGAACCGCTTCCCGTATCGTAGGATGGGAAAGCCACAAGGGCACCCTGACCTGTGCCAGGTCGACCTGGTCGTTCGTGAATGCACTTGGGCTGGTAGCATGTGAAGGACGCATCGCGAACATTCCCGAAAACCTGCCCCGAAAGCAAACATGGGGACACCAGGTCCTAGATCCTGAAAGCTGCGAGGCCGACATCGGCTGGCATGTCACATACGACCATCGAGACGCCAGTGGTCCGTCGGTAAGGCTTGCCGATGGACTCCAAAGGAGGTCGATGACGCTGGGAATCGAGTCCAAGGTGACCACATGAGATGCCAGCGCGCCAGCGCTGACCGATCGACAAGCGTCCCCTCGAGGACACGCCCATGCCAGAGACGTCAGAACCCTGGATGAAAGCTAGCCACTTGGGTTCTACCTTTTCGCAGGGTTCTAGTAGGTGGGGGTGGGGGTTCTTCTCCTGCTCCTCCACATCACTCATGCACACCTGGAGTTGCGCCAACGTGCTTAATCTAGACGCGCGCAAACTCGATAGCACGACGAACCTGAACTCCGAAATGAGAGGTGCTGCTAAACACGCACACACACACAAGTTTCGCTTACGGGCAAGACGTGTGCGATCAGCGCGGGGATCAGTACCAACACAGGAATTACAGGAAGGGGCGTCTGATTTCAGCAGGAGTGCGATGTGCCCTCGCCTTGTGGCGTCCAGGTGCCTTGGATCATCGTGCGAACATGGCAGCTGCTCTCGACAAATTTCAGCAAACATCAAGCGTCGGTGACAGTTTTCGCACAGTGGCCAAATCTGCCCGATCTCACCTACAAGACAAAGACTGCAATACATACACATGCGTGTCGGCTCCGACGGGCGGAATTCGTCATTCCACTCACGTCCGTCGGCGCAACAACTCGCCTTACTAAGGTTTCTCAGATGCTACTTGTGGCCCCATCATGCTCCACCGCAGACGGGGACGCGCTCAATGTCGGATGTCTCCTCCGGCTGGCACGGGTGGGGGGGTGGGGGCGATGTGGACGCACTGAGCAGACTTGGTGTGTTGCTTGAGACTGCGAAGCCAAGAAATCCCAAAGAAGAATCAAAAAGGTCCAACTGAAGTGTCACATGTCGGCGGCGAAAAATCTTCGGGCGTCACCGCGCCGAAAACCACCACGCATGAACGGGAACCGTCACCGACGTCTTTCTGCTAGTCGCTAACACCAGAAACATGAGAGATGAGGAGTAGGAATGGTAGGGCGCATAAGGCCAGAAGGGGGCGATCATGGCATGGATGTGATTGGTTTGGTATACATATATATATATATATATGTATATACGTATGGGAAGACTAGTACTAACTAATTTGACAACGGCGGCCACTGCGTGAACCAACATCGGGCTCCTGGGACCGATGCCTCTGGTCATCATCTCCAGGGTATCAGGGCGGATGTGCCAGCCAGAAATAATCCACGCAAAATCTTGCTGGGACAGCCGAGCACCGTGCTGGCGACACTGACGCAAGCTACAGCGGGACCAAGCCTTGACAAAACACACCACAAGGGCTGACAAGAGGCACAGAGCAGATCTCGCCAGGAGATTGGACGCCTCACCCGGAACCCGGCAGAACCCCGAGAGACCGAGCCACGGAGGAGCCACCAGCCTGCCTGGCTCCAGGGAGCTGCCGCACTCCTGGCGCACGCCGTCCGAGAACTAATAAAACAGGGCTCGGATCGGGATAAAACGCTCTGGAGCGGCCGCGGCGTCCAATACATCCTCCAAACCCGCCGATTCTCAGAGATTTCGAGTTATCCCGATCCGATTTTGTCCCGATCTTCGCGTCGTTTTTGAACTAAGCGGGACAACGAAACGCGAATTCCTTGGCAGCGCAGCTTGACGCTGCAGCTGCTCAGGTCCCGACTCCGACGGCACCTCGGCTCCCGCTCCGGCTCTTGTCGCCGGCGCGTCGGCTCGAAAGGAGAGCCTCGCGCGGCTGTCTTCTCAAAACGGAAGGAGACTGCCACGCGGCGGAGGGTGCCTCCTGGGTCCTCTTCCTCCTCCTCCTCCTCCTCCTTCGAGGGTTGGGGCTCGAGAGCAGGGGCGGGCATTGAAGTCGAGGGGAAGCCCTCAGGAGAGCCAGTGATTAACTCGGGGCGGCGAGGGTGCCTAGACTGCAAGGCGTTATTGATATTGGTCTGGCCGTAGCCATTAAACAGCTCAGTACACGCCTTAGACAGTCCCGTTGTCACAAGCGCTGCCTCGTGACAGTAGGAGCCGCACCTAGGACAAATGCAAAAGCCTGCCCCGTCGGAGCAGGCTAGAACCTCAATAACATTCGCCACCATGCCGCTGGCACGACGTGGCGTGCCCAAGAGCTCATGCGGCACTGAAATGCCGACGCCGTGCTGCTGCTGCTGCAGCGGAATTGTAAGTCTTTGGGGGCACGGACCAGCCCATTGGTAAATTCGTCGGTGGACAAACCTCCCTTCAGCAAGCCTCCCCTTAGTGAAAAAAAGGCCTAAGGCCGAAACCGACGGACCCGCAAAAATGACGGCCGCGACGCCTTCTCGCGAACCGAAAACGGCCAATTCTCTAATCGACGTGTCAGGGTAGGACGTCTATCGACCTCCGATTATTTCCGAGCTCCTCACCATGCGTTTTGAAGTGTTTCCTGCGCTTCCGGTGGGCGCTGCCCACTCCAAAGCGACCTCCCAGACCCTTGCATGAAACCGAAAGGGCACCGAGCCGCCGAACGATCGCTCCAAGACGGCCAAGGTGGCCTCAAGATGGCACACAGAGGCCTCCAAGACGCCACGGGAGGCTTCCAAGAGGTCTCCCAAGAGGGGCCCTAAGAGCAACAATTATGGATCCCCCTCCAGTGGTTGAAGGATTTTGGCGTATTCGCCTGCACGGCCCAAGACGCCCCGAAGACGGCCAAAGAGGCCTGCAAAAAGGCCACAGAACGGCCTAAGAGCGTCGAAGAACTGCCCCAGAGGCGCCCAAGACAGCCCAGAATGGCCGATCGACAGCCCAAAAAAGAACCCAAGAAAAGGATCACGAACCAAACATCTGAGCCGTCCGCCCTAATAGGCACACAAAAGACCCAAGAGGCGCCCAAAGAGGCTCTACAGGCCCAAAAGGAGGCCCCAGAACGACGTCAAAGAGGTTCGACAACTGTCTCCATGAGGCCCGAAAAAAGCCCCCCAAGATAATCCAACGAACGTCCAATAGGCTTCATACTCATAACTCAGGCACGGCGGCGGGATGGGCCGAAATCCGTTCGTATATTTACTCTAGTGAGTCTGCCACATCCAGGCCCACGGATCTGGCACCGCAACAGGAGCCCCCGGGGGCTGACTGGGGGACCTTGGGCCACTCCTACACACCGCGCATTTCCAGACGTCACCTTGCCAGTCCCAAGCGAGAGCCAAGGGAGGGTGGGTCATGGACCACGCGGCTGCGGGTAACCCATTGCCGAGCCTAACACATTAACCATCCGAGCTGATCAACGGTTCGTTGGGGCCCTGGTGCGCCCTGGCCCAACAAAAACTGCGAACGTGCTTCGCGCGCGGGCGAAACGTACCCGTGCAGAGTGCGGCTTCGTACGCGCTGTCTGGGTCGTAGAGGTCAGCAGTGCGGCATAGCTGGACAAGCCACGGCCGCTGCCTGGAACTCCCTGGCCCGAGGCGAGGCAACCATGGGGGCGGGGGCTGAACTCCTGGACCGCGCAGCCTGCCTTCCATATCTCCCACCGGGCGCCGCCTGGACTACAGCCGGGCTGCTGAAATAAAGAACGGTCAATAAGGAACGGAGCCGCTTTTTGGAGCCCACAGCGCTTGCGTGCACGAGAAGGGTAGATTTCCAGCCATGGAAGGACCTGATGAACCTCGAGCCCCTTCTGAACCCACGCTGGACCTTCCTGCATTGTTTTGACTGCGCCCCCCCGCCCCGACCTCTGAAACTCTGAAATGATACGTCTAATGCAGCTGCCGGCAAGGAACGCAACGCCAACGGAGTCGGCGCCCTGCCGATCCCCACGCGTCGCCCACCTTGACTTCATCACGGCTTTCTTGGTAAACCGTCGCACGCGGCGTGCCCTCCCGGGCCCGCCCAAGAATCCGCGGCCTCCAGGACGCGCCCCCTAAATCAGACACCTGACTCGCATGGCGCTCCCAAGCCCGCGCGTATTCTTGTCGATGGCTCCGTCTAGCTTTCGGCCTCCGGGGCCTCTTAAGGACAGCTCTTGACTGGCAGTGCTACGGCGTGGAGCCCGCATGTGTGCATGTCACGCGCTAGCGACTGCAATGCTGCGCGATAGGCAAGTAGCTACGCATGCAGACGACCGTCAAATCCCCTCGGACTCCCGCCGCCGGGTCTCTGCGCACAGGAGGGCGGGCGAATCGCGCCCAACCCCTGGGAAAAGGACGCAAGATACATTTCAGGGCCGCGTGCGTCTCTAGCGCCAGCGGAAGGCATTCTCATCGACTGCCCATGCCGCGGCGCATCTACTACTCTCGTCGAAGACGAGCCTCAATAAACTGTCGAGCCCACGCAACGCCCCGCTTTTGACATTCGGGTCCAGGCCCCTTTTGCACGTCAACTTGAAGTGGCACTTGTTTATTAAAGGGGTTTTACCTTTCAGAGGCGGGGCCCACGTTGGGTCGTGGCCCCGGCGCTAGACCAGCGTCGGCTCGCGAAGCTGATTCTTCGCCCGCGCACTCGCATACGCTCTCCGATAAAAGCCGCGTGCTTCCCGTGCTAGCCTGGCACTGTGCGCTCCTCGCCGTGCGCGCGGCTTCCCCAGCGACTAACCCTTGAACAGCACCAGGGAGATCGCGTCGAGGTTCAACTCTTTTCTGTAGAGGTCGCAGCACAAGTTGCCGCCCCCACCCAACCAGAAATTGAAATCCAGGAAGATGACTTCGCCCCTGCTGGTCCTCATCCACTGCGCGTCGCTGTGCTATGAATTCGCGAGCCCATCGATGTTGCAATCTTCCGTGTCGCCCATCATGAACGCGTCGTCCATGAAGCAAAAGCACCCCCGGATTACCCCCTCAGAAGCCAGGCTGGATGACATGACCGCCCGCGTCAACTCAATCGGAAACAGCCCTCGCCCCAAAGTGGGACGAACCGCCGAACCAGCGGCGACGCTTGCCCCATGCAGTGCTGTCTATCGATTGAGGGGTACAAATCTGCGACGTCAACTGTTCGAAGCCGTGATCCTAGTCATGATAGACGCCCGTTTCACCCGGCTCAAGATATCGCCTACGCTGAGAATGACATGGTCGTGCTTTTACACGACGTGGCCTAACTCCAGCGCGAGGTAATTGCCACTGGTTTCGATCAACGTGCCCGCGAGGTTCGATGCTGGACGGATCTGCAGAAGGACCTTGCGCATCTTCATCCTGACTCGGGAGACCCCTAGCTTTGACCTATGGAGTCCAGCGTGTAGGTGTGCATGCCCCTTCTTCGCGATGCGCCCTGCTGCTACTGCGTGGCCCAAGAAACGACTCAACCCAATGCGCGCCTCATGTATCGCCTGATTGACCGGGGGCGGCCCCTGCTCGGGATCGCGCGCGTCGCGGCGGTCGGAAGCCAAAGATTCAATCCAGCCCCTGCTGAGAAGAGCGTCTCCGGAGACCTCGACGCGCAATCGAGGCGCGTGATAGTAGCGACATTTCGCTTTAGCCATTAGACTGCTCGTGGGATACCGAGTCCTACGCCTGGAAGCTCGATGCGAACCTGTAGCGTCTGAGAAGGATGAGCTTTGCCAGCGGGGATACCAAGTCTATGTCTCGATTGCAACGCCTGCAACTCAGACGCTCTGGGGTGCAATCTCGCGCGGGATCTTCGCGGTCATCTACGGGGCCTGCTCGACGCATTGAACCGCGTTTCCCACTCCCGAAGACGCGCGGAAATCATCAATTGGCGAGCGACCTCCTGGACCCTCAAAACACGTGGCCTCGCGCTCGGCCTGAATCGCATCCCGGATTTCTTCGGGGGGGGTTACTTTGCGCCGCCGCGGTGGAGAGGGTAAGCATTGACGCCCCTCCAGCGAAGACCTCCCCTCCAATTGGCGCGACTGCGCTGCCTGCCCGATGCAGACTGCGCACATTTCAACCAGGCAGTCCTTATGCATCGCGCAGGTAGATGGATCTGACGACGAGCGGGTCGCAAGACAAGCGAACAGCGGGCCAGCAGCGCTCTCCAAGACACTCCATCATAGACGAGCTCCCCCCTTGAAAAAGGAACCTGCACGTGGCCCAAGCCAGCTGCGAGTGAGAACCGAGCCCGGCCGACTGCGCCACCTCTTTCGCCTCCCGCGGCGCTGACAAAAAATACTTCCAGTCATGCCTGGTCATGCAAGAGCTCGCGTTGCGAATCTTTTGTCCAATGCGAGGGTGCCCCTGAATTGCAGCAGTGGCGTGTCATGAGCTTCCACCACTCAGTGATCGATCCATCCCTTTCTGAAAGAAAACTGCCCCCAGGGGGGAAAGAGGTGACCTGATCAGCCCGCGCCCGCGAGCCTGGCCCGGCCCAGCAATCCCCAGGCAGCCCAAAACTGGTCCTCCTAGTAGAGACCCGGGAACCCAGCCTCTCACCCAAAGCCCAGAGCTCAGGAAGGAAACGAACCCATATCGCTACAGGAATACTTCCAAGAGCGCGCCGAACACGGACGCAAGACGTTTGGCGCAACCTATCCCCAATAGGATCTCGGGGGTCCCCCGTTGCAGGCTTCGGAAGAACCTACAACATTTAAACCACTTACACTGACGCTGTTCCCTGGTGACCCTTGCACCTGCAGGCGCAGCCCGAGGGGGGTGAAAATGAACGCCCTTCAGCCCCCTTGGCGCTGGACTGTAAGGGCCTGGTCGCCGTGGATCGGACATCCGTTTCTTGGGGGGCCGCGCAGGCCGAGCCACTGCTGGCCCAGCCAGCTTCAGCGCTCGGCACTAGTGGCAACCTCACTCTGAGAACGCACTGCCGTCGGAATCGGCTTACCTGTCAGATTGGCCATTATATGGACTTGCGACTCGTATGCTCAGCGTGCTCTTTTTAAGACCCCCAATCACGTTTACAGCCCAGCTGCAAAAGATAGTTGACGCAAGCTTTGAGCAATTCGTGAACATGTGCCACGCGCTGCTGAAACTGTTCTTAATTCGCTGCCGACACTTCAAGCTCAGCGGCCGCAAGGAATGATTCCAGGTCGAAAAGATCGTTGGCCGTTGCGCCATCCCTCTATATGAATGATGCGTTGTACGATAGCGCTGCCTGCTCTAGCCCCAATGCCGCCTGCCACCGTCAACTCAACAACCACTGATTTCTAATCCTGATCCGCCAGCTCCGGTTCCTGTCGTACTTTCGCTACGAGATGTCCAAGGTTCCTCGATGATCATCCAGTCGTTGCTCGAGATGAAACACCTTAAAATGGTAAGTACCGGCAGGATGCTGAACTGGCTTGGGCAAATCCAACTAAACAATTGTACTGCGCTGCTTTTGGTATTCGACGGCTGCGTCATTATCATGATCTTCCTTTGCCGAGACCACGACCTGGCACTACGACCGCGAGGATGATGGGCACCTGGATCGCCCTTGACAACTTCATCACACCACACGCTGTTATGTTTGCAGTACTCTATGAAACATCCGTTCTTGTCGCAACCGCAGATGGTGCATACCCCCCGTGGCTGCCGGCTGGTCCCTCGCCTCGACGCGGGCGAGGACAACCGTCTGCGCTCCTCGCTGGTGGCCCCTGTCCTCCTGCCTGGCGCTCGACGGACGTATTGCCATGGAGCCTTCCACCTCCCTGTCTGTGGCCGAAAATGATCCCCCCACCAGTCCCCAGCACCAGCCGCCGCCATGACCCCGAGAGAAGAATGGCTGGTGGATGGAGTGGAGCTAGCAACTGGCCGAACTAATGAAGACCCTCGCCACTCCACGCCCCTCTGGAGCACGCGACGACAAGCTCAAAGTATCTGACCCGGAAGGATTTTTAAGGTTTCCACCAAAATAGAATGGGGGGGCGGGACCAGGAAGGGGGAAAGCCAAGGAACATTTGCGGGGACGGAGGAGGGGCCTGGGGGGGAGGAGAGAAGGGAAGGAAGGGAGGCGCGGTAGTAAATGGCAGAGGCGAGCCCAAACATGCGACGCCCTGATCTTCCACCACGCGTGCCCCGAGAGACCCGACGCATACCCCAGGGCCCGTTTCTCATCATGTGTCCTTCTGACGGCCGCGTGGCCAGGCGAAGGCCCCTCGAGACCGAGAACAACAGAAAGCATCCCGTCCCGACTGTTTTACGTCGCGGCCATGACTGGGCGGAGAGGTGCGGTGGACGGAGAAGGCAGAGTTGGGTGGTTGTTTCATGGGCGCTCCCGGTAATCATGTTGCACTCGTTTGAGGCCTACCCAAGCCAACTACGGCGCGCTGTGGCGCACATCGCACGCGTGCTTGCGGCAGACGCTTGCCTGCGCTGGAGACGCACGGAATGCGCCCACCAGCACTGAAAGGGAAAGGAGGCAACGGCGATGGCGAAGTTAGGAGGCCAAGACCTCCAGCGCAAACGCCGTCACCTGAAAACGCGCCCGGTGGGGTGGCCCTTGATTTGCCTGAATTGCCCTTGAATGACTTTAGATTGCCTGCAATGACCTGAAGTAGCAGCGGCAGGTGGTTCTGGATTGACCTCACATGACCTTAACTTGCATGGAAAGCCACCCAAGGCAGAGTAAGGGGCAGAGAAGGCGGGGAGGGGGAGGGGGGGGGGGGCACCCCGTGGAAGACGGGCGGCGGGGCAGGCAGGGGCGGCTCCGACGACCGGTGCGCGCCCTGCCGCCGGCGGTAGAAGAGGATGTAGGCGTGGCTCCCCATCCTCCGCTCGGTGGCAACTCCCGACGATGCTCCGAACGTGTGCTACAGTCAACCCGTAGAAGAAGGACGCAGGATAAGGATGCAAGGGCCTCGGATGGACATGTCGACACTTTGCGAGGGGGGGCGCGGCCAGCGAGAGCGTCCAAGGATGGGACGCAGGGGAAGGATGCAAGGGCAACCTAGGAAAGTTACGATGCAGGCGGCGCAACGAGGGCCGGCACGGGCTGCACGCTACTCTCACGCAGGAGTGGCCCAACGCAAAGAGCGATCTTTGGCGCGCGGGGTCGGGAGGGCGCTGGAGGGCACATCCAAGCGCGCGCGCCGCTGCAAACGCGCATTCAGCGATCGGGAGGCCCCAGCCTCTGTGGCAACTCATCGGAGCCTCCTACACTATCTTACCAACTCGTGCGAATCGACGCTAGTCGACGCTGAATCGATGCGAATCGGCGCTGAATCGACGCTGGTCGACGCTAAATCGGCGCCCTCTCATCGACTCCTGAACGCGAATCGACGCTGGTCGACGCTAAAGACGGGGCCACGCTGGTCGACGCTAAAGACGGGCATGACGTGCTGCCGAGCAAGCGCGCGAGCCGCTGCTCGGCGCATCCCACACGGTCGGGGAGCCCCGGCGGGCCCCGCACCAGAAGGCCACTCCGGCGCGTGGCCGCTCGCACGTGCAGCCGAAGGGGCGGCCTCGGGCCTCGGTGGCAGCCCCTTGCGAGCCTCCGATGCCGGCCTGTTTCGGCGGCGAGCGAGGGAGGGAAGTGAGAATGAAGAGGCCTTGGGACACACACGCAGGAATAGACACAAATGACCGGATTCCCCTCATGTTCCTCGTATTTTCTGGGTTTTTGTCTTCCCCCCTATTCCCAGATGTTCCTATATTTTCGGTGGAATCGACGATAAATCGCGACTGTGTTCTTATTTTCCCCTTCCTGGGAGAAGGAGAAAGGCTGCTCAGAAGGCGGCGGGTCTTCTCAGAAACACTTCGCGCCTCCTGTGAGATTTTCTGTGTTTCCCAGAGAGGCTCAGAGAACTTCTCTGAAGGCCGGAAACTTCCGAGCCGTCTGAGAAGGCGTTCTCCTTCTCACTTCCCCCCTCGCTCGCATCCGACGATCGTTGGCGCGAATGGACGCTAGTCAATGTTAACTACTTCGACGCTAGTCGGCGCTAACTCGGCACTGTCTCATCGAGTCTCGAACGAGAGTCTACGCTCGTGCACTCTGAAGCAAGGATTACAAGGGTACACGAAGCTCACAGTGGAGCTACCACCCACATTGGAGTTGCCTGAGGGTCTGAGGTGGACCAGCACTGGTTTCGGCGGACAAGAAAAGGCGGGCTCGCAGACTTATCATCGTTTGCTAACCCTTTTGGCACCCCTCCACCCTTCGACCGACCAGAACACCGATGATCCGACGCAGAGTGCGCGCGAGGCCGACCCCAACATCTTCGGGCCTGCCTGGCCGACGATCGCACAACGTGAAGATCAGAATCGGCAGCCCTGGCCGCAGAAGGAGGAAGAGGAGGTGACGGATGATTGAAGGGCGCCCAGGACACACAAATAAATACACACAAATAAGATTTTCCCCCATATTTTCCCATATTTTCTGGGTTTCTGTCTTCCCCCCCACTTCCCATATTTTCCCATATTTTCTGGGGAATCGAGGATTAATTGTGTCTGTGTGTTTCTATTCCTCCTGAATGATGAGGGGGCGACGGAGAAAGCGAACAAGGATTTAGTGGACGAGTGACGGAGCGCAGTAAAGCGTTCGAGGCTCTGGGCCCGCAGAACTTTCATGCTCATGTTCGGCCTCCGGTGGGCCGTTCCTGGGCCTCGGGGCTGTGCACAACGGGCTGTGCCGGGGGGAGAACTGCTCCAGATGGGGCCCGGAAGGGGCCCCGGGGACCGATTTTGAGCGGATGTGGCTTCCTCCTCCTGACAATGTGTAGTTCGGCGGCAGGCGGGGGGGGGAACTGGGAAACAGAAGGCCTTCTCAGAAGGTAACAAGCCCCTCGCACTCTCTGGGAAGTCTTGCGTTTTCGGGGAAGGCTGAGAAGACTCCTCAGAAGCCCTGGGGACTTCCGCGCCTTTCGAGAACGCCACTTCCTTCTCACTTCCCCCTGGGCTCGCCGCCGAGTCTCGGGCCCCCCAAAAAATGCCTGGCCATCGCTCGGGCGCCCACTCCTGGTATTTGTTTGTCCGATGTCGCGCGCGAAACTCTTTTTTGGCAAGCTGGTCCGAGATGCGCCTCGAACACATGAGAAACGCCCCCCGCCCCCCACACGAGAAGCTGTAGACCAATGGGACCGTCAAACAGCGCGCGAACTGAGAGCGGATTCTGCTCGACGGTCAGCCAACGACAACGCCGAGACATTCAATGCGAACGGCGCGATGCTGCCATGCTCATTGGCGTTTGAACTTGGCGTTTCCTCGTGCTGGCATGCGGTCCACGCCCAAAATCCTTGTGGACATCCGCGCACTCGTGCCAGGGCAGAAACCAATGGGCGCGTCGGCCCTTGGCGGCGCTGGCAAGAACCCCACGCGGCGCCCGGGGCCCGCCCCGCACGGGCGCGCATCAAAAAGTTTCGACCCAAAACACAAGCAAACTCCATACAACATATCAATCTAAATTTCTCCGAAGCAGAAAGTCTCGCGCGGAAGAGCCCCGAAAAACTTTTATAAACAGAAAAACGTGTTTACATAAACGCCACAAAACATTATATTGGACCAAGAGAAACGCTCCCGTTCTAAATTTTCCGCCGGCAAGGCCAGGAGGGGACGACGGAGGCGGGCGCAGGAGCCCTCGGCTGGGCCAGCGGCGCCGCCGCGCGAGGGACAACGCCGCCGTCGCCTCAAACTGCGAGCCGCGGCCGTGGCACGCGCCGCCCTGGGAATACCGGCGCGGGCGCGGACGCGTCGAGCGGGCCCAGGACGTCGCCGCGCGCGCGGGCCCCCCCTGCGGCAGGGCGCCTACAGTTACGCTCATTCGACGTAAATGCAAAATGCTGACATGTAAAATCCACAGTTGTGGGGGCTGGGGTCGGTTTCCCACTGATCAGACTCGATGGCCCCCGCCGGAGGCAAAATGCGCACGTCCGAGCGATGCCATCGCTCGGACTTTCTGGTCGCCTCCGGCCGCCACCAGGGAGCGCCCGACGAGGAGCGGGGCCCGGGTGCCCCAGCCCCGAGAGGAGCGGCGGGGTGCACGAGGAGCCCGGGCAAGGGGGGGCCCCGCCACCGCTCGGACGTCCAGTCCTCGTGCGTTTTTGTCGGTGCCGCGCGTGTATGTTTGCAATTGCCTACTCTGGCTGGCGGCGAATTGTCTTGCAAATTAGCCTCGCCCGTGGCCAGGACGTCGCCTTCGCTCCCCGACCTTAGTCTCGGGGCGGCTGACCAAAAAAAGTGTATGTTTGCACGGGGCGTGGCGGCCGCGCTGGCCTGTAGTCTGGTGCGACCGGACGGCTTTCCAGAGAACCTGTGCGACGCCGTCACGAACCCGGGGGCGCATGCGCACACCCTCTGTGCCATGCTGCATCAGGCGGCCGACAGGTACACGGTTGCGCTGTCCCATGCTCCGCTGGATGCTGATACAGCCGCTAATCTCATCCGGGCAGGCATGGTGATCAGCAGGCTCGAGGACCACGACGAAGACGCCCCCCGCAGACGATCTGCTCCCGTACTCGGGTGCAGACGTGGAGGACGCCTGAGAGCACGCGACCCACGCGCGCGCAGGATGTATGCCAATGCTCCCTACCAGAACTGCCGCAGGGTATGCCCGCCCCCACGGGACCAGGAGGGAAGAACGTGCCAGCGGGGATATGAGGCAGCTCCCAGAGTCCACGGGAGCTCCACTCCTTCACCTCCCGTGTGATCGACCACAAGCCGGCTGGCTCCTGGCGGGACCCGGCTGGATACCCTGCCCGCGGACGGACAACTCGAGCCACAACGCCACGTGGACCGGACAGTTCTGCCGCACCTGCCGGATGCACTGCCAAACCCTGCGCGCAGACGGGGCCGCTGACCGACGGGGACGAGTTTGTCGTAGAGCGATACCCCTTCCCAGACCCAGATCGGTCCCCAATGAAGGTCACGTTCGACGGGGGAGCGCGTTCCATCGCTGGCCGCCCCATGGTTGCCGGGGCAAGGACCACTCTGTGGATGCCCAGTGCCGAGGGCCTACCGCCCACAAGGCTTGCATCTTGCGCAGTTGCACTGCCAGACTGCGCTGACGCGCACCCAGCGGAGGCCACAGGGTGCCGCGCCGGGCTGGGTGCCCCAGCCTCAACGACCCCGCTCGTCCGAGCCGTGCGCATTGTAGGAGACGACCTTGCAGCCGTACGCTGCGGCGCCGGCACGGGTAGGTACAGATACAACTCCCAGTGGGGGCCTAATGCCACTTGGAAGCAACTCCCAGTTGAGTTGCCTCCAAGCGATCGTCCGTTGGAGGCAACTCCCATCTGAGTTGCCTCCATCTGACCGTCAGTTGGAGGCAACTCCCAGTGGGGGCCTACTGCCAGTTGGAGGCAACTCCCGGGCGGACCGCGGGACGGGGTGGCGCCGCGCTCCGTCCCCCGTCCCATCCGCTGAGTTGGGCTGCCTCCAACTGATGGCCAGTTGGAGGCAACTCCCACATGAGTTGCTTCCAACTGACCGCCAGTTGGAAACACCCCCCAGCTGAGCTGGCTCCAACCGGCCGACACTTGGAAGCAACTCCCATTTGAGTTGCCGGCAACTGGCCGCCAGTTGGGAACAACTCAACTGGGAATTGCCTTCTCCCGGGTGGGGCGGGGGGCGGGGGGCGGCGCCGCCCCGCCCCCCGTCCGGCGAGATGGCACGCGAGTGCCCTGACGGGCGGGTCGGGTCGGGCGGGCCCTCACGGGCGGGTCGTGACATTCAAAATATGATGCATCATTGAGTTGGCACGCGAGTGCCCTAGTGGGCGGGACGGGTCTGGCGGGCGGGCGGGCCCGCACGGGCGGGGTGGGTCGGGTCGGGCGGGC